GGATTGGGACACCAAGCTGACAGCAGCATTGTGGGCTTATCGGACAACTTTCAAGGTGACAACACAGGCAACGCCGTTTTCGTTAGTGTATGGATTGGAGGCCACTCTCCCCATCGAATTCGAGGTGGAATCACTCCGAGTTGCAGTGCAGTCACGGCTTACAAACAGTCAGTCATTAAGGAATAGGCTGACGACATTAGAAGAGCTTGATGAGAGGAGGAGAATGAGTGCTCAACATATTGAGGCCATTCAACGGAGGAGAAAAATCACCTTTGACAAGAAGCATAAGAAAAGAACGCTGAGGCCAGGTATGATGGTGATGCTCCAGGATGGTAGGAAGCTTGAGTTCCCAGGAAAGTTTGATGCAGTATGGTTAGGGCCTTATCTGATTCGTGAGGTATTTCCAAACAACTCAGTGCAGTTGGAAACGTTGAATGGAGAAGTTTTCCCCACACGCACTGCGGGAAGTAGATGCAAGCAGTACCGGATTTGAAGCTGTCTAGCCTGCAAAGCTAGGATTCTGGAATCTTCCCCTGATGGTCGCCAATGATGTGAGCACAAAACTGTGCTCACATGTCTTTTTAACCTTGTGAGAGTTAAAGTTTTAGATTTAAGCTCTTGCAAGGTTATGCTCGGAGTTTTATGGAAGTTTTGGTAAGATTAGGAGTTGGTGTAATAGCTAGTAGGAAAAGGTGCGGAAGGGGGCCTTCGGAGCAAGGTCTTCGGCGAAACAGTGAAACCCTCATAACGTTTTCAATGTGTGACGCCTTGACTCAGTTAGGGTCTCGTTGGAAAGAGCTCGCAACGCTCGTTCCAACAAGACCACGAACTCTTCAAACGGATGAGGCGTCACTGAGTTATGAGCGTCGGAAGCGGCGGATAGGGTAGAACAACATCGAACCGGAAGACATCCGACCGGAAGACATCGAACTGGAAGACATCGCGGTCGGCGAACTCGCGGCCGGAGCACTCGCGGTCGGAGCACTCGCGGTCGGCGCACTCGCGGCCGGAGAACTCGCCGTCCGCGAACTTCGTGCCGGCGCCTTCGGCGATAACAGGTAACAGGCCTTCGGCGGTGTGCCTTTGGCGAAGGATAAAACGGGCATAACTTTCTCAATTCGTAACGGTTTGACTCAGTTAGGGTCTCGTTGGAAAGAGCTCGACCTGCTCGTTCCAACGAGCCCACAAACTTGTGAAACAGAGCTAGGGTCTGTGAGTTATGGGTGTCGGGAGTGACTGTTATGGATAAGCAAAGGTGTGGTCGTGCGTCTTCTGCGGGTGGATGCCTTCGGCGGTGCGCGAAAGAAGATCCCCTCCGGCGGATATCGGGTGGTCAGGATGTAGAATGTACAGGTGTGGCGGCGGCGGCGGCGTGTAGTCGCGCAGGGGGAGCAGGCAGCTATCCATCATTGCGAGTGGGGCATGCAGGCGGGCTGTGGGTGTCTCGGCCTTGGACTTCGAAGTGGAGAGTTCGGCGTGGGAGCTGAGACCTGGTGGTGTGTTCGGCCTAGTGTGCGAGAGCTTGTAGTGTACCAGTGTGCGAGAGCTGGTGGTGTGCGTGTGTGGAGACGGAAGTGGTGTGCTCGGCCTGGGAGCTGAGATCTGAGTGGAAGACCTGAGAGTGGGAGATGTGAGTGAAGTGAAATCTGAGACTGAAATCTGACAGTCGGGATCTGAATTTGAACTTGAAAAGTGAGAGTTGAATCCGAGAGAGAAATCTGGTGGGGTCTGAAGGTGGGAGCTGAGAAGTCGACATTGAACTCTGAGTAGGAATTGGGAGTGGGACTGGTATCTAGGAAAGCCCACAGCGGCTGTAGTATTGAGGAAGTCACCCAGAGTTGGGTTAGATCTTTATGTAACAAAGAGCTTGTCTGATGCTCTTGCGAAAATAGTAGACAGCAAGGTTATTATTTTCAGTTCTGGATAATTTGTCTGTGAAGGAGCAAGTGTTTATGATCTCATTGTCCTGAATACACTTTGAGTACATGGCTTGAGTTCAGCGAAGTTAGATTATGGGAGCTCGAACCCCCACCTGGACTACAACCGCTGAAGGGTGGGAAGGTTTGGCTCACAAACTATGTGCGCACTTCAACCCTAACTTCATAGAGTCCCCAAAAGTGTCACTGCCACGTTTTCCAACTTTTGAGACTGATGAACTTTTGAAGTGGCTTTTCTCCCATAGTTTCACAAGTGGAACTATTATTTTAATATTATAATGGAAATTCTTTAGGTTTTGATGCCTTTACGCTAGGCCCTCTTTCCTTGGCGCAGTATTTGGAGACAGCGGACTTCTTCAAATTATTGTTCTTCAAGACCGCCTCTTTGACTTTTCTTTTTCAAGAAAAGTCAACAATTTACTATAGAAGACGGAATCCAATGAAATCCATAGCCGATTTTATTATTTATCAATTATCAACGAAAGCTGCAGAAATGATCTCCAATCAAATGTAATGGACCGAATGAAGACTGTGTTTTTTTAACCTGGGGGTTTTTTGTTCAAAATTGTACAGGGTTTGTACTTCTTTTGTGTGCCTTGTTACTTTACATCAAATACAGCCTTTCTATTAAAAAATAATCCATTCCTTCTCAACCATTTTCGATCTGATCATTCGCTGCAACATTTAAAGGTTAAACTTTCTCTAATTGAGTGCAAAAAATTTCAAATTCTTAAGGTGGTGCATATTCATATAAATTCTGTATGTGGTGAGAACATCTATGGCAAAATTACATAATTTTTCTCTAATATGCTTCTTTTTCAAATTTATCTCGATGAAATAGTTGACTGTATCACCTATGTCTCAATTCTTTTTGTCTCATAATGTCTAAAAAGTGCAATGTGCCCTTTCACTTTTCTCCCTTTTTCCATTTTTTTTTTCCCAAAATTAAACTTTTTGTACTTTTCAACTACTATGCCTGGCACTTTGGCCACAGGTGTACAAATCTTGTATCTAGATGTTTCTTTAGTGAAAGAAGATTTGCAACATCTTGGCTTCAACAAACTCATGTATTTAAGAGTAAAAAAAGTGGGCAAAAAATATTTAGTTCTTGAGACACTTGTCTAAACATTACTCCCTTCATCCACGTTTCACTCTAACGCTAACCAGAGAGCAATAACCATCAAACTGGTTATTGCTCTTAAGCAATCATCCCATACTTAGATATATGCATGATGCACGATATATCACTCACTTCTCACAGAATTAAATTTTTTTCTCTAATGTTGTTACAAACACCTCTGAAGCAGATTCATCATCCAACAAAATCTATACAATCCTAACTTCGTGCATGCTTCAATGCCATGAGAAAAAGCTAGTGGACATGTCTGACCTTTCTCATAAAGTCTGACTACAGTGAACTATGAGCTCCATGCAAAGCTAGAGAGAGCTACACGCATTCTCGTGGGCCAGCATTCTCGACTGTGTGAGTCATGCGCAAGACTTTTCTTGCCTCAAGTTCCTTGCGTAACTACTTCGTGCATCTTTGGCAATACCAGACAGATGTACATCTTGCGAAAATTAGCAATTCATAGCTTTGAAACTAGCTCAGAATCTGGAAGTCATCAGAGAGTACACCTCCCTCTGACTCCCAGCTCATAATTTAATTAGGAATCTGGAGATTAAGGGGCTTCTTCATCACGAAAGCGTCAGACAGTTGACGGCCAGGAAGCAAGCTATGTTGTTCAGTGTCTCTTTGGGAGACTTATGAAAAGCTTGGCAGCCATGAGGGCAGAAATAAGTCTAAATTATGGATTTCGCCCGTGATTTACTCAGCATCGCTGTGGACCCTTGATGCAAGCAACGAGGATAGTCTTTGTCCTCAATACTCCAACTGTTTCGGTGTCATCCGATCCATGTTTCGAATCTATCCTTCAGCAAGGTCCCGTGATTTTTTTATACAGTAATTGTTCAGATCCGTAAGACACGATCGTTACCTCGAATGAATGACACCTGCTTACAATTCTAGCTGCAAACCTTCACGCTCGAGTCTTCTGGATTAAAAAAGATTTCAGAAATTTTTAATTTATACCAGACCGGCCGAACTAGAAGCACAACCCTTCCCGATGGTTTATTTATACATGAAAGGCTCAATTTTTCCGTGCATGAGATGACCGCCAAATGTTTCGAGCGCTTATTTAGTTGTTTGAAAACAACTAAATAAGTAGCACATACATATAACCGACAAAATTATGTATACACACATAATTGGACTATGACATCTTTTGTGTGCTAAATATCAAGTCACATTTATCTTCATAAGGAAATTTCCGGTTCTTTCCCATCCCACGACACAATTGATTTGAGCTGCTGACGGTGCTAGAAAGAAAAAATTACATTTGGTTTTGAGCTCTTCAAGTAAACTTTACACTTGACATATGGAAGTCATAGAAGGCGGGAGCGTGTTCATTCTTCCATAACTCAATTGGAAACTATTGAAGCCCTCAATGCCTTCTCTGCTGAAGCTAAAGCATACGATTTACTGTAGCGCATATTATTTGCACACCCTCGAATATTCACCTTCACTCTGGAGTCAGACGGAGGACCTTTTGCCACTTGGGCTAAGCTCATGTAGCAATTTTGAAAAAAGTACTGCCTGGATTAGCCACAAATCATATCCATGGAATTAAGGCAGACTTCTGCAGAAATCCACGGAGAACTTTATTAATGAGTGATTCCCTGTAAGCCGCAGCCGTCTTCTGAAATGGCGTGATGGCTATACCGAATCTCTGAAGTTGTCCAACAACTACAGCGCTCACAATCGTCAAATCTAAGTGAATAAAAGTTTGTCGACTTGTTCCCATCCAATACCATAGGATGCCAAGGCAGCTAATCTTCAGTGCATGGACCCAAACATTCATCTCCTCAAATCTGTCTGTAAATGGAACGGATGCTGCTGTACTGCAAATAATTGTAAGAGATTCGATCTTCAGCTTTCCAGATAATGATGCCCGCCAGAGGGTACTCTTGCCTTGAATAGAAGGCAGACCTGGCCATTGAACTAGCCACGATCTGCAATCAAATTAAATGACAGCAGATCACGGGTATGAAAGTATAAATCAGCGAACAATCTAGTAGAAGGCAAGCTCGAAATCAGAAATTGAATCATTAACAGGATCCTATTTCCTGTGTTAGAAGTCTTCTGGTTCATGAGAGCAGAGAAATTTTAAAGTTTTGATTAGGAAGTTGATCGGATTTGAGTGCAGAAAGACAGTTGTAAAGAATGGAAGGAGGAGATTTGGAGCTTGGAAATTTGTGGGGATTTGCAAACGCCTTGCAGCTGACAGTCACGATACTTCTGGGATTGATCATACTCAGAGCATGCAGGACTTGGCACTTACAAGGTTCTAGGAGCATTCCATCAAAAGGGTCGTTTGGATGGCCGATTATAGGAGAAACTGTGGGGGTTATCAGTTGTAACTCCAGCTACCCCTTTGATTCATGGCTTGCAGATCATACGAAGAGGTGTTTAGAAACTCTGTCCCTCTCTCCTTTTGTTGTATCTTACTCCTTCATCCAAGCTCAGGAACGAGGTCATCTTCACTCATTATGTTTCGATCTTGGATTTTGCAATGAATGGCAGGTTCGGCACTATGTTCAAGAGCCACTTGTTTATGAAACCGAGTATTATTCTGATGAAACCGGACGAGCTCAAATATTTCTTCGACGATCCAGACAAGGGTCTAGATAGTGGCGCTCCATGGGCCTTGAAACAGATATTTGGGGCCAAAAGTGTCCTTGCGATGAACGGCAATGAGCACACGAAGATGCATAAACTACTCGCTGATTCGCTAATGATTCCGGAATTGAGGAAAAAACTCCCGGAGATGGACCGACTAATGCTGCAATCTATAAGCAAATGGGGTGGTAACACTGTCGAAGTACTGGACGCTCTTCAAGACGTAAGTTGTGATGGAATGGACTGCAGTATAATATGCATGCTCAGACGTGAACAAAGCCTCGTACATTGTATAATGCTTTACACATATTCTCTTGCAATTGCTGACGATTTTACTTCCATGAGTACGATAAGTTCTTTCTGCGTTTATGTTATATAAGTTCAATGCATGATCCAGATTTGATTTGTGTTCTGGATGCAGATGCTCTTAAAATTCATGACTCTCAATTTTTTCGGCATTCCGTGGGAAGATAAACTGGGGGCTCAAATCGTGTCCCTTCTATTCCCAGCACTTCTGGGGATCACAAGTATTCCTGTCTATTTTCCGGGAACTACCTTCTACAAAGCCGTCCAAGTATGCGTCATGAGACAGCACCCTAGTCTGTCAGCTGACGAACCAGAAGTTGCAATCAAGCGTTGAATGAGATTGCATGACAGTAAAACACGTATAATTTCAGTTGTTGTAGATGAGTATTATACATGCTTGACCTGTTATCGAGTTCGTACAAAAGTTTAGCATTGCTCAGACGTGTATCGGTACGTATTTTATTCTGTTTAGGCACGAAGACAACTCAACGCGTTGCTGATGCCCATAATTGGGGCGTTGAGGAGCTCCGAAACTACTGAGATCTTGAAGTATGCCAAGTTGGAAAGGTTTCCTTACCAGAATCTGCTGGAGCACGAGGTTGATGGTGTGAAGTACTCAGATGCGGGAGTCTGTGACATCTAAGTGGGCACTATTCTCGCTGGGATTCACGCACCGACCAACACCATAGCTATAGCTCTCAAGTACCTTGTCGAGAATCCAACCATTCTGCAGAAAGTTCAGGTGAGTTTATGACGATATTCATACCTACGACCATAGGCTGAATGGATTATACGCTTTTCATAGCCCAACTTCGGTTGCTGTGTACAAGATGCTGGGACCTTCAAAACGTGTCTGCTTACTTTAATTGGAGAAACAGCTCACGAATATAGACTTTGGCCATTATCTTTAGCGTATGAAAAAGCACTCACCAAGTTAAGTCTGCTAAGCTACTGAACTGCTTCTATGGCACGTCACTGAGCATGCATCATTGGTTCTAGGCTGAGACAGATGCCGTGCGAAAAAAAAAAGAGGAGTCTGGAGATACAGCATTTTCAATTTCAGACCTGAAGGAGCTGAAGTACACCACTCAAGTAAGTATGCTGAGCAATTCTCTGTCCATCACTACAACGAAGAGTACCGAGAGGATAAATATTGTGTTTGGTTCAGCAGGGGAAGAAAGTTTGAACAGACCATTTTTGAGAATGAACAAGATATTCAGATGCATTATCCCATAGCACGCCAGAATGTCAGATTATGTGACAGCTATTCTATCACATAGTCATCAAGTTCTTTGCTTCACAAGGATATCTATGCAACTTCAGCTTTGTCAAGGTCCAACGATGCTCTAATACTACTACTTTATAAGGGCCATTTTTCCTGCAAATCTTATCTTATTTTGCGACAATATCCTGTAGGTATATCACGAGGTACTTAGAATAACCAACATCACGCCGGGAGCATCTAGAACAGCAACCAAGGATTTGACTTTTAATGGTACGTTCCTTGGATAATGGCGAGAATGCACTCGATGTTCCAACCTGAGGTCATTCTTGCCGCCTCCTCTCAAATTATGTCTCTTCAAAATGAATTTCCACTGTCAATGTTACACATGTTGGATTGTTCTATTGCAATGAGCTTGTGTGCTACAGCAGACACAACTCCTGCTACGTTCTGAGGATTTGACTAATAGAGGTGTAGTGGATATTAACGTGGGTAAGCTATCAGGTTACGTAATGCCGAAGGGGTGGAGACTTCTAGCAGTTCTGAGCCCACTTCATAAGGACCCCGAACATTTTCCCGAGCCTTCGAAATTCGACCCAGACCGGTTTTTGGTAAGAAATGTGTTCTCTGTGTCGACATTTCTGGAAACCAACTAGAATTGCAATAGATGAATCTACCTCGTACCATGACTCTCTAACATAACCGAGTGATGTTTCATGCAAACATACGTCCATTTGGCTTGACTGTTGTCGATGTAATTTTCCGCGCAGATGCCTCCAAACCCCAAGACATATCTCCCATTCGGCAGAGGTAACCGAACTTGTGTTGGGCGAGACATTACAAAGTTACTGGTAGTCTCGACTCTGTACCACATCTGCTCCAGATTCACGTGAGTACAGTTTTGAATTTCTCTCTGGACCCGCCTCGTGCATTAAGTAGGATAATTTCTTTCATTGCTGATTCTAATTGTGTCATATATATTAAGCTTGATGCACTTGTAAGGCGCTAGGGAAGAGCTGTATTATATAATTTAGGAAGAGGCTTCGTTTGAATCGTAGTTGTGGCTTTGACGATGTAATTTCAGATTGTGATTTTCCCAATATCTCAGGAGGGTTCTGCTTACATAAGGACTATCTTAAATTAACATTATATTGTCCTGTACTTTCACAGGTGGAAGATAGTGAGCGAAGACAAGGGAATGTATTATTTTCCCGTCGTTAGATTGGCTGGAAAATATGAACTTGCTTTCTCACCTCGTTCTTAATCTCGATGTATATTTCACAACCAACCGGTTTAAAATTGCTTCGAACTCCATCCATTCTGGCAAGGTCCAAGTTACTAAAAGTGCTGCATATGGCTCAAAGATTAAAGCTTCAGCTGGATGGTGGTCGAATGCTGTCCGCTCTGCTGATGTTTATTGTATATGTACATGCAACCCTCTCGATAAAGTCTTTGAATAAAATCTTGGAAAAAATTTTGCAGTCTTTACGCCAATTTTTCTCGTCCAGAGAAGTTGTCAAAAACTGGTAACAGGAACTAGAATGAACTATGCAATTATTGTAGAGCCTATATTCAGAAGTCAATTATGACTGAACATTCATTCTTTTTATAATTGCATAGAATCAAGAATTTGTAGTCAGGGATCTGGCTCGGAATCGGTTCTTAAATTTCACCTCACTAAGACTAAATACTTTCTGGGATTGATGCATCCAAGATCTAGACTTTAGACAAAGTCCGGTGAACTCCGCAGACGTCACCGAAGAACGTCGTGTAGAAAAAGTTATTCTTTTCATTGTTGTCCTTCTCCAGGCAGCATCATTCGCTGCAACGAGTCTTTACATCTATAGACCTCATAGGGCCAGCACGATTAAAATATATGTATATGTATATTAAAATATGTATCTTTGATTCTTTCAAACCGGTTTGATTCTTTCACTGTTGCTGGCAACTGACGACAATAAATTTTGCGGACGATGACAAACCTACCATCCAAAAAGTGCACACACTTGTAATGAAGACGTCGCCGAGTTCCTTATCCACCGCACATTTGGCTGCCATCTTGACTTGCAGACCTATATAAACCTTAATGGAATTCAATGAGTATTACAATCTAGCTACGTCATGAGCCACGGAAATGACGTGCGTTTGTAAAAGGCTGGAAATTTAGTCAATCTCTGACTTAGCTGCTACATGTTCCCATAGCTTGTCGTAGATTATCGATAGTATAAAGGTTCCTTCACCGAAAGCAAGCTTTCGCAATACTTTTAAGACAGCTGATGCATGCATGCACGCTCTATAGATTGGATCAACGGTGGTTTTTGATGAACATGAAGAAATTACGATCACTCTTATCGTGTAAAATTCTTATCATAATTTCTTATCTTGATGGAGTTTTTTTCTATATTACTTGGTGGCCCATTGTTTGGAACATTCTTCAGAAAGTTAAGTGTTACATGTCATAAATCGCATTTCGAGAAAAACTGCAAAGATTCCAGCATAGCGACGCATGGGCACTGACGAGCATACTTTTAGTCCCATGAAGTTTGTTTGATGCTGGAGTTGTTCTATGACAGGTTGTAACACGCGTAAGATTGAGATTTTTACCTTTTGGATGAAACTAATCTAAACTATGTACTTGCAAACTTTTTACACTCGTTCAAACCTATTATATCTAGCTCATTCATCAACATGGACTAAATATTGTATCCCAAGTTCAACATGCTATGACAGCAATTACACCATGTGGAATGAAAATTTTACTAATGCAACAGCCAGCAATCTGAGGATTCTCTGACTGGCGTATAATACAATTCTATTTATCTTTCATTTCTGCACTCGACCGTCAAGTTCATAGAAATTAAATATCAAGAGAGAACAGAGCCAAGTCATTTACTTTGTCGAAATTACCCTCAGATAATACACGAGTGCACCAACTGATAAACTTTGTGCAAGACACTGAAACTTGAATGTGATGTATGTATATATATTTCTAAATGATATATCTTTATATCTGATTTTCCACCAGCTCTATAGACTTTTTCAACATAATTTTTCACAAAAATGATACTCTCACATATTTTCTATCAGTTTATTACCCCACATATATTTATTTATTTCAATTGAATTAGAGAAAACGATGTAGAATTCAAATTCATCTAGCATTTATAGATGATCAAATATTGTTAGTATCGTGTAATAGGTAAAACTGGATTTCTGATATGATGTTATTTTCAACTTTTGATGTTTTTTTTTAATTTTTTATTAATAATCTTATCAATCTTCTTTCATCATTTGTTCATATAATTCTTCAATTTTTTCATGTCAGATTTTCTTGACGCTTTGTTTCAATCTTGTAATTAATTCTAGTAAAAAGTACACTATTCCGTCTGTGACTTCATGCCACTTGTCTTTGTCATCAATTTTCCTTTTAAGCTTGTATATGCTCTAAATTTTTAACCAACACTTGTCTCATCATTTGAAGCTTCTATAAGTTGTTATTAATCTTGTCAAAACGGTTCATCTTCTACTTATATCTATCTTGAATCTGTCATTTGAAACAATTTGGTGATTTGGTAAATTGAGTTTTGTCAATATTTTAATTCGCTACTTTCTATAAAAGCGTTATTTTTCTATAGTTTTCCACTTCTGCCCTTTTTTATCACTATTTTTACACTATTCTGAGACTTTTTATAGCAATTTTTTTCATCACTTTACAGCTATTCGTTTCAAAACTTTTGTAAATTTTTGGATATGTTTGTAGCAGCATTTTGACTTATATAAACTTCTGGTCTTATACACATGGTCTTAAACACACATGTTTCAGTAGAAAACAATATTTCCATAAGAGATAAAAAAGATGGTCCACTAAACTTGAAAATGTCAAAATTGTCTTCAAAATTGTTAATATTTTCTCTATAACTTTATACTATTGAGCAGAAAGTTACTTTTTGATATTACTTGACACAGCGCAAATTTATAGTCTACTCTACTTTTAGTCATTTTTAAGACTCTATCTAGATGATAATCGTGATGTTTTAAATTTGATACCAAAGCTCATTTTGTTTACCGTTGAATTTGCTGTCTTCTCTAACTCGTTCGGAGCCTCTCCAACAACGTGCCAACTATCTAATCAAGAAGTTTAACTCTCAAATTTATAATATCGAGTAAATTTATCAAAGTGTCAGATCCCTTAACGTGGCCCCTTGCTTCGCTGCAAACTGTCAAATATGAACTCAGCCATAAGAGCTATACTCGTCACTTGCCACATCCCCGTCTCCATCTATCATCATTTCATTTCATAATCACAACAACTTGCTTCTGTTCCAACATCATAGCTGCTTATTCCTGATACAAGATCTAAATGTACTGTGAATGAACATCTTAGATGTGAGGTGGCTATTTTTAAGATAGGAAAAATAGTAGTAGATTTATAGTTTTTTAAATAGATAGTTTTTTTCTCCGCTGTGCAGGACATTATGAGCGTTTGAAAGACACTAATAACTCTGCGTAGACTTTCATATGTAAACGGAATTGAATTTTGGAGTTTCCGTCCGGAGCATGCATAGGTCTCCATTAAGAGGAAGTAGAAAAATAATTATCCACTGACAGTAATATCTCGTACTCTATGTATTTTTTATGTGTTTGACTGTAAGGAAAGTGGAATCGTATATTGCCATCAGTCCATTGTCACCCATCCATTTCATCATTAACTACTCAAGTTAAAGATGTGTTAGGAGTATTATGAATAGCTGTAATAACCCACCAAAGGCTAAAACTGCAATATAGTGGTAGAAATGTCAAACCCACAGGGACAGAGGCAACACACAGAGTACAAAGTGTCACATTTAACAAACTATTGAAGAGTTTGAATTCTCATGCGACTGTCACTCCCAGAAATACTGCAAGTGTTTCTGGGAGTTGCAGGTGCAAAATGCGGACCGCCAAGTTGTAGCTCCTCTTGCGTGGTGACAGAACTAAGGAGACAAACACGCAAAGAAAGTGATTTCCTGATCTGCACTTCCGAATTGGAAGAATCCCAAGGCAAGACGCCTTGAACTACTTTATACCTTCTAAATCCTAACTAACACTACACTACCTGCAATGGTGCGAGCCGGAACAGATCCTACACCTGAGGAGTCGGTGGCTACCTTCCCCTCTAACTTACAACCTAAATCTAACACTAACCCTAACCATTAATCTAAATCCTAAGCCTACTGTACAGAGCCGCCAGCGTCTTTACATCCAAGATCTGAGGCTGAAAATTTGCAGGCATGCGTGGCCGGTTGAGACCAACGGCCTCGTCAAATTTCAGATCCATCTGACCGTCCATCGCAAAGATATGGGCCCCGCAAGATCTCTAAACCCAGGCCGACATTCCTTCTCCAAAATCCGAGGTCCGGGGTACCCACATGCCGCTTGAATGCCGTTCCCGCGATTATGGGTAACGGCCTGCTCCTCACGTGCGACTTCACGCCCCGCCGTTCTGCTTCCCACAGTTGACATAATCCCGCCAACTTCCGCCATCGGGAATCTTCTGCCACGTGGCGCCGAAGGCGTACCGCCGAAGGCCCTTGCCCCGAAGGCGAGTCTCTCCTATCCGCAGGCGAATTGCGAGTAGGCAAGTTGCGCGTAGTCGAGTTGCGAGCCGGCGTTCCCCGCCGGCTCCCTACTCACAACTCCTTGGCCCGAAGGCCCTTGCGCCGAAGGCTCCCTATCAGTAACTTCCGACACTCATAACTCATTGATGTCTTATCCGTTGCAAGAGTTCTTGGGCTCGTTAGAACGAGCGTGTTGAGCTCTTTCCAACGAAACCCTAACCAAGTCAAGGAAATATGAATTGAAAAAGTTATGAGGAATCCAGTCTTCCACCGAAGTCACTCTCGCGCATCGCCGAAGGCGTATCCCCGAAGGCGCACCCCCGAAGGCGAACATCAGGGCCGAAGGCGTATTTCCCGTCGGAAGCGAAGTGCCTACGCGCAGGCGAATTCCTTCTGCCGAAGGCGAATTTCCCGGCGGACTTCCCGCCGACGACGAACTCCTTCCGCCTATCCCTAAACGTTCTCGTTCGCATCTTCCGACAGTCACAACTCCTTGAGTCCTCATCCGTTCCAGGCGTTCTTGGGCTCGTTAGAACGAGCGTGTCGAGCTCTTTCCAACGAGACGCTAACCCAGTCAAGGAGTTAGGAATTGAGAAAGTTATGAGGGATTCACTCTTCCGCCGAAGGCGCTCTCCCGCATCACTGAAGGCGTTGACCTGAAGACGTTCGTTGCCGAAGGCGTTGACCCGAAGGCCCTCCCTATCTGTAACTTCCGACACTCATAACTCATTGATCACTTATCCGTTCCAAGAGTTCTTGGGCTCGTTAGAAAGAGCGTGTTGAGTTCTTTCTAACGAGATCCTAAGTAACTCAAGGCGTTACGCATTGAAAAAGTTATGAGTGATCTACCGCCGAAGGTGCTTGAAGCGAGTCTTGTAGCATGAACCGCCCGCTCCGTCCCAAGCGTCTCACTGTGGCCTAAGCCCAAAACCCCTTGACTGTCCTCGATCCTCTTTTTACTCTGGTTTCGCGTACCGATTACTATTTACAGCTGCTACCGCG